CATTTCCGTATTTCCCTAATCTTTGCTCCAGAGTGTAAGATGTGCTGGTCTCAAAACAACATAATCACAGAATATTATGATCAAAAAAGTTGGCTAACCTTTTGTATTATATTTTGCCAAAATTAGACTGATTAACCGGTATGCGGCTGCTCATCATGCTGCTAACTAGATAGCTTTGACTGTTAATCCAAACCGGATTTCAGTCTGCGTTAATCGCTTCACTGCGTAATTTCTTTAAATCATCCCACAATATATGTTTTTTAAAGTTCTGTATGTATTCAAACTTTGAGCGTAATTTTGAACGATGAAATGAAGTAAGCGATGATGCGTTAATCACGACAAACCATTTTTTGTTATCTGGAAGGCCTTACTTAACACAATGCAATCTGAAATATTTTTCGACATAAAATCTTAGAAAGTGCCTTTAAATGTTTTTAACGCCTGTTTCTAAATCAACACTTTATATAGCAACTGCCAAATGCCAACTGCTGTCCTCTACTCTTAAAGTTGTTTTCACTTCCTGCCGGTCACTTAACTCGTTTGCACCTCATTTACACCCTTGCTCTGTTTTAGGTCTCGTCATCAACGTTCCGTGTCTTGGTTAAGAAAAACTGAATATCTATCTACCGAACTTTATAATAAGTACAACAAGGCTGAAAAGGTTGAAACAAAGTAAGTTAGGTTCGGATTTTACTCAACATATATTCTAGAATTGGTCATAATACCAAACGTCGCTTCACAGAAGATATCGTTTATCGCGACAGAGAGAGTCAAATCCATGCAATTGAGGAAACTTTTGAAGCCGTGCAGAAACCAATTAAAAAACATTATAGCAAACCCGGTGTTACCGCCGTCGAAGTTCTGCCAGTCTTGCCCGATTTCAATTTGTGGCGTTATCCTTGCGCTCAGGTTTGTGGTATACATTGTTAATGTTGAATTTTGCTCTTTGATTTTTTTATCAAAAACACCAGACAATAGTTTCGTTTTCATTCTTAGTGAATTTGAACCCAGATTGTGATTGCTCTCTTCATGCTTTCTCAATAGCCCATCTGACTGTAGAACTGTCAGTCT